CCAAACCGTTGAATAAGACTCTTTGCATATGTTCCTTGAAAGATCGAATTCTATATGCCGTCTGTTTTATTTGAAAACCCAAGAAGTAGTTCATCTCACCGACCATGCTCATTTCAAACTCTTGAGTCATAGCTTTCACAAACAGGTTCACGAGATGTTGGTGAGTGCTTCCACAGACTATGTCATCAACATAGATTTGCACAATCAGCATTTCTCTGTCCACTTGCGGAATAAACAAGGTTTTGTCTACACTTCCTCTCTTGAACCCCATCTCAATTAGGAATAATGCCATCTCAATAGAGCGTTCTTGAGTTTGTAAACATGATCAGGAAACTTTGGATCCTTAAAACCATTTGGCTGAGACACAAACACTTCTTCTTGACTGTCCCCATTTAGAAATGCACTCTTCACATTCATCTGGTAGAGTTTGATATGAAAGATGCATGAAATTCCACAGAGAAGACGAATTGATTCCACTCTTACAGGATGTGCAAATGTTTCATCAATCTTGTTCTTGAAAATCCACTTGGTCCCCACAAAGTTCACATTTGGAGGTCTTAGAACAAGATCCCAAACATCATGAACTAGTTTATTTCTTCAGGCACACACTAAACCAGAATTCATCTTCTAGAGCTGTGAAGATGTCTTTAGGTTCTATTGTTGACACAAATCAAGAATGTTTCAACCATCTCTAAACGACACCCTCTTTGTCTCTTGAACCTTTTCATACCTAGCCAAATGAGTTTGCATTCACTTCACATCCAGATTCATGGTTACTACTTAAAGAATGTTAAAACGAATGGTTGATTGAATGTTTGCCTAGGTTCTATGATTGATGAAATCTTGTGTTGAGATAAGTATGGCTAAAGTATTCAGAGTATGGTTGATATGATTTGCATTCTAGAGCTATAGACAAGGACATTAATTTTAGCTACTTTAGCAGCAAGTTTTGGTTCTGAATCCTCATCTTTTAACATCTCTTCCTGCTTTGAATTTGCTTAAGGCTAAGCAAAGAATAAGTTTGGGGGAGTTTATATGTCTGGATTTTACTCTTTTTAACACTAGTTTTATGTATTGTTTTGTCATTATAGGTCTCATCACTTGATCTTTTATGCATATTTTCCTTGTTTTGCTTCACTTGTAGAATCTAGGCCTTGCATTGCATGCATTGTAGTTTTGTGCATAAATAGGTGTTTACCCATTGGAAAAGAAACAAATCATGATGAATCGACCTAGTGTACATGTTTCATCCGATCGAGCAGTGGAAACGATCGAGTGTTCGTGTGAACCAGAGAAGCAATCGACCAAGCATCCGATCGAGCCATCCGACCAGACTGATCGAGTGCACGACCGAGCAGGCCGATCGAGCACCATTAAACCGACTTTCTATTTTGTTTGCTAGTGTTTTAAGGCTACCTAAACTTTCTATAAAAAGGCTCTTTGCCTAATGACAGAAGAATCGAGTTGTATTAGGGTTTTTCTTCATTTTGCTCTAGAATTTCCAAAATCTTGTAAACTTCATATCTTTGGATCTATTGAGTATTTGGTGTTGCTTCTTTGTATTATTTTGCTTATCTTTCCTAGATCTATCTAGTTATGCATGATTTAGAGATTTCTGGGTTTGTGTTCTTGATGATGAATCTCAGATCTGAAGTAGATTCATTAAGTTTTGGGGATGAATTAGATGTGTAAGTGGAGAACATTAGGTAGCTAGGTTGCCCATAGGTATAAATTTTTAGATTTCCTTCTGGATTAGTGTATATAATACTAATCTCATTCTGATCAAATGGTGATTAGCTTTCAGGCTTCCACGCTCTAGAGGTGTTCGATGGAATGCCTAATAATCTAATACTAGAGAATTTCATGTCTAGCCCAAGAGATTGGTTGTCTAGAGTGTTATTTGACATTAATGACCTGAGTCTTAATGTCTATTCATTTCATGTTTCATCAACCAGAAGTTGAGATTAGGAAGTAATTTGAATTTGATAGCTTTTGTCAAGAGATTGAACTTGTTAGCTTATGAGCTTGTTGTCTAGGAAACATCACTGTTAGTGTTGATTGATTTAGCAACATAGTGAACTTAAAGATCTCCACTGAAGTCATCATCTCATCCCCAGAACCTCCCTTTAATTGATTGATTTATCTTGCTTCATTTATGTTCTTGCTTTGCTTGTTCACTGCATGTTATTGATTCTGTAGTTTCATTTATTTTTTAGTTTAATGTTGTCTTTTGCTTAGCTCTTCCTTGTTTTCAATTCAGTAGTTGGTAGTTTAAAACCTTTTATGCTTGGCTTAAATTGTTAAACATTGATTGCATTTAAACTGCTTGCACGAGTCCTTATGGATCGATAAAGCCCTTTATACTACAATTATACTGGGTGATTGATACCATTACCATCAGAAACATGTTATCAATATCTTTGTTCCTTCTTCAGTCGTCTCGTATGGAGGTTCCCATCCTTCTTCAACAGCAGTCCAAGCATCTTCACCTTGCCCTCTAATGAGCTGCGTCATTCTGACTTTCCAGTAGCCATATCTCTTAGTACCAAGTATGATGCTCTTACTTGAGACAACACCATCTGTGTTCGGTTCCATTCCCAAGATCTAAACATGTTCGAGATTAAAACACCTCAGATCAGTTGTTAGCTCTGATTCCAATTGTTAAAATATAACCCGTGCACAGAAGATAAATAAGAACAACGAACACCACTGAAAGCGTATATTAGTTTCTTCTCATACACTCTTAGATGCAAAATGTCTGAACCAATTAACTACAAACTCACCACCAGTCATTTGTACCTGGTCAGAAACTAAAGCTACCCAACTTACCGTACATCAACATCTGCACACACTCTTTATTCACTCACCAATAAAACCCACAAGAACTTCAAACTGGTCTACAAACAACAACCACACTTTACAAAACTCTAAAGTGCTAACCCTAAAGCGAAAACATCTTCTTCTTTTATAGCCATGTTCCTTATCCTGAGACCTTCTATTGTCCAGTTGACCAATAGAAGCTCCTTTTACATTGTTTGACTTCTGATCATTGCTTTCTTCCAGACACACGCCACCTCTTGGTTGCACGTGCTTTTCCATCCACCAAATCCGCTTCCTTGTACTAATCATACAGCATATGTAAGTCACGTGCTCCCTTTGGTTGTCTCTACATCTTCTGCACTGTTATAGGTTCCTTGTGTTGCACTTCAGGTCCTCTGTTTTCTCAAGATGTTCTCTAGTAATCAATACCTTTATCTCTTTGTCCTTCTTATATGTTGCATACGTGTTCTAGTCCTTACAACAACTAAACACACGGTTAAATCAATAATAAAGTATGAAAACATAGAAGTGAAAATTTGAAATCTACGCAATGATAAAGTCCCGGTCACCCAAAATTAACATCTCACCTTTCATATAGGATCTTTGAATATGCTTCTCTCCTCTGAGATATATATGCACAAAACGACTCAAAATATATTCTTCCATAGCAGGGTTAGATGTGAATAAATACGACGATGAACTCAAATGATTCAAAAGAAGATAAAGAGGAAGAAAATCTGAAATTTTTTTGAACCTAGAAATCTAAAATGGAGCAGGGCGGGATATTGCATTTCTAACACTAATAACTCATGAGGGTGACACAACGATGACAAACAAATATGGAGACAGATATTTATATAAGTTTTTGGAAAATGATCGTGGGCGAGGAAAATGGATCATGGAATCAAGGGATGGGAAAGTTGGGACACGATGTCACAATTTTTTTTTCTTAATATTTTTTCTTCTATTTCACGATACTTGATTTAAATTGCGCCTTTCATAAGTTATGTTTTCATACAATCTATCATGATCATTATAATTTATTTATTTCTGATACCATGACTACGATTATATATATATATATATATATATATATATATATATATATATATATTTGACGCATCAATTAGTGAATGCTCAATCAGTGTCTTACTACTAATTAAATTTCTTGTAAAGCTCTTCTTGGCATGTCGATTGATATATATATATATATATATTTTTGTTTCTCTTTGATTTGCTAAGATAAAGATCTCTGGCAAAAACTTAGAAGTTGCCGGTTCGATTAGCGCTTGGGACGAGATATAACATGTTTTGATCTCGTGCCTGAGGGGATATATGGGTTTCGGCCCAAAACCTCTTTAAATACTCAAAAAATAAATAAAAAATAAAAGATAAAGATCGACTTCATGATTAACGTGTTTCTCTTAATTAGCATGAAAACAATATATCGCACATCCATATAATTTCCTAGTCAAAGATTTATAAGTCTTTGATAAATGGTTTGAATTAATAATAATCACCATCCAATAGACTTTTCGATACGATTACATTTTGCCCATAGCAAACTTACCCTCTTGACATCCTTTGAACTCGATTGACTGAGTTACGTGAGCTATTAGAAAATATGTTTTCATGTGTAATAATTTCATTTACTCCTGGGATAAAAATCTAAACCTGAACCGAACCAAAATTTTGGGTGTGTGGTTCGGATTCGGTTCTTAGTTCTAAACCGATTGGCAGAAGAAAAAAACAATTTTTGGGAAACTGAAATAATTTCGTTATTGCAGTTCGGTTATCGATTAACCAATTTTTATTTTTCTAACTACATAACTGAAATTTATCTTTAAGCTAACCAAATTATATACCCGAAATAATCGAAATATTTGAAAGAAAATCAAAAAGCCGAAAAAACTCGAAATTATCCCTAAATAACTGAAAACCCATATTTTTATAATAAAAAATAAATTTCGGTTAACTTTTGGTTTTAAAATTTTTAAAAACGAAATAACAAAAAAAAAAAAATCAAAACTCAAAAAATCCAAAAAAACTAAAATAATCAAACCGAAATAATCGAAGTCCGAGGACTAGTTTCGTTATCTGCTTTTCTCCCTTGATATGCTTTAATTGTAATGTTAAAACTAGCTAGTGTGGCATATACGAATCTGGATCTTTAATTGAAATTGAACTTGTTCATCTTATTCAACAATCATATATAGTTATACCACTAAAATATATATACAAATTACACCAAAAATTAGACTTTAAACCAAAAAAAGGTTCAATAAATCATAATAATCATGCTCAAATTAAAAAATTATAACTTTTCTTCCCCAACATGTCTCAACAAAAGCACTCCTTACGCTCCACACTAACCCAACCACCATTACGAACTCCATTAGTAGCATCCCACAACCTCACAACACTCCCGTTAATCACCGCTAAATCCACATAACGGTACCAACCTTCATCTCCGCTTCTCATCTTCACAACTCTCTCCCATCTCTCCCACCACTCTCCACTCTCACCTCCACCATACTTAACGTCCGTTATCTCTCCGTCATCTTCATCTATCTCTCTCTCAATCTCTTCCTCGTAGTACACCGTTAACTTCCCCTTTGTAACTCCGTCATTACACAACAACAAACTCCAATCTCCTGTCTCAGTTACCTTAACCCTAGGAGGTTTTGTCTCTGTTACCTTAACCCTAGGAGCCTTCGTCGCTTGTGGCAACGGTGGCTCACGTGGAGAGTCATCTATGAAACCATTGTCTCTGATCACTGTGGTTGTGGTGGTGGTGGCTCGGATACGCCAGAAACTAACGGCGGCCGTTACGACGGCTATCCATGTCCAGAGATTGTTAAAGACGTAGTCGAAAGCCAAAACCTCTAACGGAGATTCCAAAGTCGCCATTTCTGAAAATGTTTTTGTTATATCCTTAAGAAGATTGAGTCAGTTTGGTTAGTTATATATAAAGTGGATTAGTATGGAGAGAGATTGATTCTGAGCCGTTGGATGAATTGATTTATGGATCTGAAGAGAGAGATAGATGCTGAGCCATTGGATCTTGACAAGTTGAACGGTGGATCTTTCGTATATGCTTAGGATCAAAGACCGAAGATGCTTGTTGTGAAGAAAGATGCGAACCCAAAAATCTTATTATTCTCATTTAATCTCATTTTGTTTTTTTTTTGGTTGTTTATGTTTCCGACACGTGTTTGGTCAGAAACTGAACTCTTGACACTATCATATATTCCCCTCAAGTTTTGCCGGCTGGTTTCAGCATGTGTTTGTGAAGCTTGACACGTGGTGTGAGGTTATTGGTTTTCATGGATCTCACTGCATGCACTGTTTTTTTTCTTTCTATTACTAATACTTTTGTTCCTATTTTACCTTCGAATAAACTAGCCTTTTTATTATCAACTAGGTATGGACCCGCGCTACAACGCGTAAGAAAAATGTCGGTTTTTTAATTTTGTGTATCAAAATTTTGTTATCGGACCCGCACTATACGGTGGAGGAAAGTTATCAAGCTATTATTAATATAGGTTTATTATCGGATCCGCGCTATAGCGCGGGGGAATGATTTCGGGTTTTTATTTAACATGTTATATAGTATTTGTTATTATTTTGTTTATTTTATAATCAACATATATTATTTCAAAATGTATATTTGGTGTCAAATTTTTGGCAAGGTGTATTAAAATAACCTAGAGTTGAATAAAAATTGATTAATTAGTATATGGATTTTTTTAATAATTAGGATCTATAGTTACATTTATGTATTAATGTTTTTTCTTATAAATTCAAAAAATAATTTAGAAACTATATTAAAATGGTGTTAAAATGGTGTTATATATTCGGTAAAGCAGAGTTTTTTTTGTCATATATAAAATGGTGTTAGATTTTGCTATATATACACTTAATTTTAAAATACTAAATACGTTTTTTTTTAGTTTTTATATAGCAATCTCTTTTTTGGTTATATATATATTTTAAAAATCTACATATATTTAGGTAAATAAATGTTCACACTTAGATTTTTTATACATTACCCTATTTTTAACGAATATGTAATTTTATTATTTGAATCATGCATATTCTATTTAAAATTTTACATATTTCAAAAATTCATATTCTATATTTAAATAACTAAATCGTAACTATTAAGGAGTTTATAAATGTTTTATAACATAGAAATCTAAACTGAAAAAAATAATAAACAATTTTGTGTATAAAACTTTCCAAGTCATTGTTTTTTACAATTTCATCTTTCAAAGTCCAAAAATATATAGGTTAATCATGTGAACCAAAAATAATATGAAAAATATAATTTGTCGCACAATCAAAATATTAAAATGTTAAAAATGCGATAATAAATCGTAGATCTAACTATGAGGAGTCTAAATCTCCATTTAAATTTTTGGAAATATAAAAAATAGAAGTGACCAAAGACACGTTTAAAAGATGGGGGATTTTCACAAATAACCTTTTTATTATACAATTTTCTATAAATACCTTCTCTGAATATTCATTTTCAAAAATACTCTCTTTAATGTATAAAATGATTAAATTCCTCTTTTAGTATAATATATGATGAAGAAAGTAATATTCTTTCCAACAAAAAGGCTATTCCTTCCAAAATAATTCCGACAAAAAAATTTTCTTCAAAGAAATTTCCCGCCAAAAAAACTCGAACAAAAATTTTTCCGCTAAACTTTTTCAGCCATAATTTTCCGCAATCCTTAAAAAACCTTGTAAATATTTTTAAAACCCTTGTAAATCTTTTAATAGTCATCCCAAACCTATCAAAACATTTGTAAATCATTTTATAACCTTTAACCCCTTATAACGGTGATAAATCCTTTAATAAAAACTTTTAAAACCATTTTAAAACCCTTGTAAATCCCTTAAAACCATTGTAAAGTCCTTGTAATGCCTTTAAAAATCTTTGTAAACCCTTTAAAACCGTTGTAAACTTCTAAAACCCTTTAAAACCACTTGTAAATCCTTTAAAACTATTTTTAAATCATTGTAAATATCTTTAAAAATCTTTGTAAATCCTTTTAAAACCATTTTTAAATCCTTCTAAATGCCCTTAAAAACACTTGTAAATCTTTTTAAAAACACTTGTAAATCCTTTTAAAAACCCTTAAAAAATCCTTGTAAATTTTTAAAAACCATTTGAAAATCTTTTGAAATTCTTGTAAATCCTTTTAAAACTGTTATAAACTTATAAAAACTTTTAAAAACCTTTGTAAATCCTTTAAAAACCATTCAAAAACCTTTGTAAGCTTCTAAAACCTTTTAAAAACCATTACAAATCTTTTAAAAACTCTTGTAAATCCCTTTAAAAACCCATAACAGACCCCTTAAAAATCCTTGTGAACCCTTTAAAAAACATTTGGCGGGAAAATTATTGTAAGGTTTTTATTTTTGCGGGAATTTTTTTGCGAAAATTTTTTTGGCGGAAAAATTTTGTAGGAAAATATTTTGGTGGAAAAGTTTTTGTCGGAAATATTTTGGCGGAAAGTTTTCGGAAATAATATTCCGTCCAAATGAAGGAAAATTCTTTCAACTAGGGATAAAATGGTCATTAAAATTTAAGAGACGGTAAAAATGAAAATGGCAAAAAGAGAGGCTAGTTTTCCAAAAGGGTATCATAAAAAGTTTATTAGTAAGAATTCATGGGCATTCGGATATCCATTCGGATTTGCGTTCGGATGTTCAGATTTATAAATAAAGAATCCGATCGGGTATTTTATAATATCGGGTCGGGTTCGGATCGGATGCTTTCGGGTTTGGTTAATTTTTGTTATATCCGAAACTCGATCTTGGCACCGAATATCCGAAGATTTTGATGATTTTTATCCGAAATTGAAAAAAAAAACTTGAAATAGATAGAAATATCCGAAATTTTTAATTTTATCTGGAATACTCAACATTCATAATTTTACCAAAAATTATTCAACACATAATTTGAAATGAAAATACCAAAGAATGTTGAAGTCCTAAATATATGAAAGAGTAAAACTGAGTGTAAAATTGATTAAGTCAAAAGTCTTAAAGATATAAACAAGTAGAAAGCTAATGACATCTTAGAAAACATCTTTCATAAGTTCCACACTTCACAAAACTCAAATTCAGTTAAATATTTAGAGATTTAAAGATATATAGTTTATTAATGATCGGATAAGTTCGGGTATCCGTTTGAGTCCGGATAATACCCAAACCGACCGGATATTGATTTTTATGAAAACTAAACCCGATCGGGTATTACACACTATCCATACCCGAACTGAACTGCCTACTTCGGGTCGGGTTCGGATTTTGGGTACGGTTAATATGCACATGCCTATAGAAAATAATAAATTCTTGCGTTCACCGCTGAACCATTATATTCACCTTAACTTTTTTTTAAAATCAAAATTTGCCACCTAATCAAAACAAATTAATTTATTTATTTATATATATATATATATATATATATATATATAATTAACAATATACCATTGGACTTTACTTTTGCAAGGTTATATGTTGGTTTGGGTTTATAAATAACAGTGTAAATTTTAAATTTACAATTTACCGATGTTATATGTTGGTTTGGGTTTAGATTTTACAACAAGACAATATTATATGTCGGTGTTGATTTATAAACTAGGATTACAGTTAAACTTTTACACTTAAATGAGGTTATATGTTGGTTTGAGTTTATTATAGAGGATTAAGGTTTAGATTTGCAACTAAACATGATTATATGTTGGTTTAAATTTATAAAAGAATAGTAGGTTTTAGATTTTACAATAAACAAGAGATTATGTATCAGGTTAGGCTTATAAAAAAAATCTGGATTTAGATTTTATAAATAAATGAGATTGTGTCTTGGTTTTTGGTTTAATTAAAGAGATTTGTTGAGAAATGCCCCTTTTGGTCTACCCTTGTTTTAAAATACCCCTCTTTTCTATCTATTTTCAAAAATACCCCTTTTCAAATATGAAAAATTATAAACTGTTATATGGTTGATAAGGTAAATCAAGATCATCATTACTACATGGAGACTAAATCCAAATATTTATAGGGTTTTAAAAGGTTCTAAACGGCATTTATAAGGTTTTTATTATAAGGTTTTTAAAAGGTTTACAAAGTTTTTATAAGGTTTTTATATGGTTTTTAAAAGGTCCTTATACGATATCTATGAAATGTATATGTAAATTTACACACTTATAAAGATAATTTGTGTCTATAAATATAAGCTTACACATATTTTTTGATAAATTTTAAAATTTATAGTGACTTTTTGATAAAATTAGAAAAAGGGGTATTTTTAAAAAGTAGTATTGAAAAAGGGTATTTTTGAAATTTTCCCCTTAATTAAATTCGTATTTTTTCAATGATTTAATTTTTGATTTTTTTATTTATTTAATTTTTCTAATTTCTATTTAATTATAATATGACTTTAAACCCAAGTATTGCTCTACCAAAACAAAAAACACATCGATGAAAGTTGATAAATTCAGTAGCATGCAAAAATATCATAGTTTTTTTTTTGACATCAACAAAAATATCATAGTTTGATTGCGTATTTTGGGAGTACAATATATAACCTAAGGAGTAATGTGTTCATTTGAAAAATCTAATATTAAATCTAGAATTAGAAACAGTTAGTTGCGAAAGTGACGGCAATGCCAATAAAACAATTTGTTATGACAAAAAAAAAAACCAATGATAATACAAAATCCAAAATAAGAAAATTATGTTCTGTTGCTTGAAACCTCTCTTGTCATCATCCAACACAAAAAAAACCTTGAAAAAAAAAAAAATTCGAAGCTGCTAAAACTTTTTATTTGCATGGGGTTTCCTCTTCCTGTCGTCTAGGAGCGTTTCATTTCAGTTTCCTCTTCTGGTATGTAATTGTCACAAATGGGTATGGAAAATTATCATTAAGTGATTTTGCATTCGTCTTGTTAATAATTTTGCTCGACAATTTTGGATTAATGGGAACTAGAGAAACAAAATATAGAAGAAATTGTAAGGGGATTAATGTAAAAACTCTTAGCTACTCCATTTTTAGATTTTATTTTTATGTTTGTGCCATTTCTAGACTACATGTTTTTTGAGATCTATCACAATTAACTTAAAATTCTTTGTTTTGGCTTTGTCGACATTCTTTAATATTGATTATGAATGATTAAAGTTATCGATATATGTTTTAAAGAGGACAAGTAGAATTTTAGGGTTGTTGTGTCTAAATATTCGTCCTGAAGGATCATATAATTGGTTTTCGATCTCTTCTTAACAAAATCTTACCCTTAAGAGCTCACCAATAAACATCGTCTAATGGAGTTAGCTTAGAAGATATTAACTTGGTTCGATTATGATACTTTCTTTTTGGTTTAATCATGTTTGTGGATTTAAATTGCAGCTTGACTTGGGAGATTTTATATATATCCTTAAAAGGAGAAAATGGATGAACACAATGCAACAAAATTAACCGGGATCAAGCAGATTGTGAGACTAAAAGAGATTCTTCAAAAATGGCAAAGTGTCACAATAGGTTCAAAGTCATATGATGGCGAGTTAGGGGCAAGAAAGCACACAGCCATCATTTCGCCGATGATCGACAAAAGGTTATTGGAATTGAAGACTTGTGACTCGGATGAGGAAACTACTTGCCCTAGCCCGGAGTCACCACATGATGTCCCTAAAGGGTACTTGGCTGTTTATGTTGGACCTGAGCTCCGAAGATTTATCATACCTACAAACTTTCTTAGCCACTCTTTGTTCAAGGTCTTACTCGAGAAAGCTGAGGAAGAGTATGGATTTGATCATAGCAGCGCGTTAACCATACCATGTGAGGTTGAAACTTTCAAATACTTACTTAATTGCATTGAGAACCATCCTAAAGATGAAACCTCAGGTAATATATAACCTCTTCTTCTTTACTCTTTTAACTCAAAAATCTACATATTTCTTTCACATAGAAAAATTAACAATGTAAGATTATAGTTAAAAAGCATGTTGTTATATATGACTTAAGGAGTTAAGGAATTTTAAACACATACACAAAATCAGTGATGATGACTTATTTTTATATTTTTAAAGGTCTTTTTAGTTTTTTTTTTTTTTTTTTTTTTTTTTTTTGCAGCTGGAGATCCAATAGAAACAGAAGAGTAAATAATATCATCATTTTTATATGAAATTCTTCTTTTCATCTTCTATTACTTTTCCCTTTGAAACTCATACTAGGGCTGATGACTCCCAATGGTAATTTTAAAATCAGTTTCTCTTTGTATGTTTTATGATTATTTTTTTTCCTCTTCTACTTCTCCTTTGCTTTTTTTCCAAAGGAAGAGTAGAGATGGCTGTTTAAGATCGGAGTTGATGGTCAAAAAACTCAAATGTAATTACATATGGTTATATTATGGTGTAACTATGCATGTGAAGAGCCAACCATAACATTTGTGTAGTTAAATCAATGTGAGAGATAGATCCAAGTCCATCATCAGTAATAATGTATACTCGATAGTCTCAATAATCAAAATTTTATTGCAATTCAGGAAATGAAAAAAGAAAACAAAATGACATGAGTGAAATATAACAAAGAAGTCGTTGATACACATAATGAGATATAAATCTTTATTGTTTAGTTGACAAATCTTGGTCTTCAAACTCTTGTTGCACTACTCCTGAGCAAGAGGAACAGCTTGAGCCTACAAGACAATAAGAGACTGTTAAATACTACCGAACCAGAGACAACATTAAGAAGTGTCTAACAAAACAATGTGGTCGTCAAATGAGACTGTTTAGTATACCAGTGGACGGTACTTAAGTGCATAGAACATCTCAAGGTACCGGCGACTCTCAAGACGGTCAAGATTTGAGACATGTTTCCAGAAGCCATATACACCAGTCAATGTCAAGAGCCTCTGTGAGTATATTTGCCAAGTATATCTACAAGAACCCACAAGAAGATGGTTAAAAGATTTCAAACTTTAGGTTGAATCTACAAGACAAGACTTGTATAGTTTATACTTACTTCTCCTGGATCCTCTGAAGTCCTCCCAATGAGATTTGGTCCCAATGAGATGGGTCTTGTTTACACTTGGTGAAGAAATCAGCAAGAGTCTCAGCCGCTTGGTCACCATGGTATGGATCAATGTGGAAACCAGATTTGCCATGCTCAATGATCTCAGCAGGACCACCATTACAAGTAGCAAAAGTTGGTAACCCACATGTCATGGCCTCAACAACAGTCAAACCAAAGGCTTCATACAAAGCAGGCTGCACAAATGCACCTTTGGTATCACATATGTAACGGTAAAGCTCACCGTTTCTCACTCGGTTCATCTGTGAGGAGATCCATCTGAATTGACCATTAAGGTTATATTCTTTAATCAGGTCATACATTTTCTTCATCTCTGCCTTCTCTTCATTGTCCTGTGACTCTTTCCTCCTGTCTCCACCCACAACGACCAAGTTCACCAGTTCGCGCAAGCGAGTGTTCTTACCATACCACTCAACAAGACCTGATAAGTTCTTTACACGGTCAAGCCTAGCCATGGTGAACAAGATTGGTTTCTTCTTTTCCTTAAGCACACATCTGTTTTTAAATATAAATAAAAAGGTTAGTTCTTCTCTATGTTCATTAGAGGCACTAAAAAATTAGCATGATCAGTCATATCAAAAGCTTACAGATGCTCCTCATTCTCAACATCACTGTAGAGAAGCTCCTCAATCTCTTGATGGAATGCAGTTAATCTACGCTTCTCCTCAGTGTACGCGAAGTATATGCTCATATCCGCGCCAGGAGAGACAATGTTGAACTTTGGATCAAACACATCAATACCGTGAACCACACGGTACAGCCCTGGAAGTGTGAAAGCTGTGTGGCTCTCGTACTGACCAACAGTGTCCTTGCTGCAAAAGAAATGTTACTTAAACTCATATATAGAGAAGTTGTATAAAGCTACAGTTTCCATAAGACTTGAGTTTCTCTCTTTACCTTCCAGCAATTTCTTGGAATGTACTTGTGATGATGAAATCAGTATGGTTCATGGCGATAAGATCAGCCGTGAACTGGCAAGAGAAGTGATACTTATCGTCGAGTTTCTTCCAGTAGATATCAGAATCCGGATACTTAGTCTTCTCTAAAGCATGTGCTATGGTGCACTGTACAATAAAGAAACCAAAAACATTCTTAGCTTCAGAACAAGACAACACGTTTCAATGGCTATGAATAGTAACAAGAAGCAAACCTGAGTAACACCAAGCTTGTGTGCCAACAATGAGGCAACAAGGTTACCATCACTGTAATTTCCAATAATAAGGTCAGGCTTCCCCTGTAACTCTTTGGAGATTTCAGCTGCAACATCCTGTGAAAAAAACAAGATATATTTATAATTTTGAGTCATATGAGACAAGACATGAACCATGTTTTAACAAGAAGTTAAATGATTTATACCTCAGTGTAAGTCTCTAGATACGGCCAGACCTCAAACCTTGAGATCCATTTGCGAACGATTCCTTTCTCTGTTCTGAAAGGCACACGAAGAATATCACAATACTGAGATCCATACACTTTCTCTAGACGCTGACCACAAGTGGTTCCTGTTGCATCAGGAAGAAGCCGAGTGATCTGAGAAAACATAAGAAAGAGAGTTTTAAACGTCTTCTCATAGGACAAAAGAAGAATCATCAGATCATAAGAAATTAAGCTTACAATGAGGATTCTTGGAGTGATGTTGAGTCCTTGTTGTTTAATACGTTGAAGCATCTCTATTTCGAGAGCACGGACTTGATCAAGAATGTAAACAACCTGCAAATATTTACAAGTTTAAAGATCCACCAAGGGATGAAGAATGAAGAAAGAATGATTCAAAGTGTGTCATTACTAACCTGACCACCAGTGTCGGGGTAACCAAGAACATTGTCTTGAGCAAAGTATCCATGAGGAGAGAGGATCACAACGTTGAAAACCATTGGGATCCTTCCAAGGAAATTTTCAAGAGTGCAAGGATCAGGTGCTTCAAGAAGGTCAAGAAGAAGACGGATCATGTGAAGGACACGCTCCGCGGTGTCTCCCCAACCTCTCTCCAGACCAATCTCCTGGAACTTGTGTTCGAACTCCGAGTAGAGTGTCTCAGGGTTAAGCTCCATAAGATACTCCTCTGCTTTCCTCAGATTGTGTTGCAGTGTGTTTAGGTTCTGGATCCTATCGTTAAGCATCAGAGTCTACACAGATGCAAAGACAAAGCGATTAAAACATTTTTCTTACTCAGACAACAAATGGAGAAGAGAGTGAGCTATGTTACAAACCTTGCCCTCATGGGAATGGAGGCGAAGAAACTTGAGAAGAGGATGTAAGCTCTCCTTGTCATGAAAGAGCTTAGCCGAGAGATGGCGATTGAGAAACTCAACACCATTTCCAATGTATTTGTTAAGCGTAGGACGAGGAAACGCCGCATTAAACGGCTCAAAGTCAAGCTCGAGAGTGAAGCTACCATTCTTACTGCAATTTTAGTCATGACATAGATTGTGTTCAAAAGAACTGACAGCAAGAGAGCAGAGAAAGAAGAAATGAAGAGGTGAAAACATACATTCCATTGACGAGATCTTCCTTGAAGTGAAGATACTCAGAAGCTTGAAGCTCCTCAATGACAAGATCATGAACGTTAACTCTTATGTACTCCCAAACTCCAGGTCTTGGTCTTACAGCTAAAGCAACCAATGGTGGCAACACAATTGCTTCCTGAGTTGATCGGAGGATTTCAAAGAAAGCTCCACCTTGTAGCTTCTTCTGTGCTTCTACAGGCATTGCCTCAAACTCAGCAATGATCTGGTGGTGTTGTAGAATGCCTTTACCTTTGGCTTCAACCCTAAAGAAACAGAGCAGTTTTAGGGTTCTTTTCTTCGTAAATCTTACAAGACAAGTAAGTTAAGAAACAGAGCATTTAGGTTTAGGTTATGATGTGTTACCTTGAGAGCAAAGCAAGGACTTCGTTTTTGTGAGCAACAAGCGTTTCATCTAAACGTTCTCGTTGGCTGTGGACGCGCGTTAGTACACGTTCCGCGTTTGCCATTTCAAACACAAATCAAAAGAGTTCTTGAAGCTGCAGAGAAAGAAGATGATGAAGAAATGTAATAAAAGATAATGGAGAGATGTTAATTCAATGTTTGTCTTAATGTAAGAAGAAACTGATCATGACTTATATAACAAAAGCTCAAGAAAAAAAGTAAATATAAAGTCAGATTTTTCTTGCTTTTTTATTTAATACAATCAGAAATTATCATAACTTTTAAAAGTTAAGATGATCATTTTTTTATAATATAAAGCATAAAATATTAAGAGAATCATCTTTATCCAATTCAAAGCAGCGGTGGTGATTATGGATTCTCAAAATATTTAGTATATGAAAGATAAACCAAATCTATAATATATGAAAAATAAAATTAAATAGATTTTATTTTCCATACAGCTGGAAAATTCTCTAACAAAAAATATTCCTCTAAAACTTTAGAATATAAGAACTTGTTGGTTTTTAGTTTTCTGTTTTGAGAATTTTAAAATGGTGATGAAAAAGATAAGAATTCGTTTTAATTCTAAAATAAACTGAAAAAAGAAAAGAAAAATAAAACATAAGTTTTTTCTTTACTCTTATCAACCATATAAAAGTTTATAATTTTTCATATTTGGAAAGGGGTATTTTTGAAAATGGATAGAAAAGAGGGGTATTTTTAAAAAGGGGTAGACCAAAAGGGACATTTCTCAAAAATTCCCAATCAATAAAGCTTTATTCTTTGAAAATCAAAATTAAGAAACGAATAAAAAAATATTAAAGCAAATGTAATAACAATTATAAAGTAGTGAGCTAATTGAATGGAACCTGAAGTAGAGAGTAGAAAGAGTGAGAAGTGAAGTTGATCCCAATGAGACAATGCAGTGAACTCTCAATAGAGATTTAGAATTTATACAGTGATGAAATCTTAAAGAATGGTATTAAACTATAATTAAAGATTGATTTAAATTTAATTATTTTCTCTAATTGATTTGACGTTATTTAATTTGCTTGGAAATTAACAGAATAAATTTGATAATTTGATAATTATATTATCACATCCATCCAGGAAGACAATAGTATATGTTTAGTCCTTGATCAACAAGAAATATTTCGTATATAAAATCTAACATTTATTGTTGATTCATAAAAGTAACAGAAAATGTATTACAAAATATATACTTATATTTTATTAACCGGTATAACTCTAGTAAAAATATTGAAGACAAAAAATTTTACTAAAAAAAGAAAAATCATTTTGCGACAAAGTTATATAAAAAATAATAATTGGAATAATATGCTTAGAAATTTAGAATAAAGAACATTGTCCATTTTATAATGTGTTTGTTGCATACTTTTATATGACAATGCTATTTTTATTCTTCTTATCCTAAAAGTAAATAAATGAGATTATCAAAGAATCTT